CCCTTAGCAGATGGTAGCACTCAGCCATCTTCCACATTAAAATTAGGATATTTTTAATTTCAATAGCCTCGCGAATCATCATTGGTAGGATTCGGTGTTCTATTCCAAGGATTTGTTGTTTATCAGATCCGATATAATGGTTGTGACGATACTAAACATGTTGACATACTTTAGACTTCCTGGAGCTTCGGTGCTTCACATCAACGATATGTTTTTTTACTCGGAACTTTCATCCAAGATGCGTGAAAAAACCCGTAACATTAGTTTTAATCCATGTGTAGTATTCATTATTATAGAACTGTATTTATGAAATTTTCAAGTATACTCGAAGTAAAAAAAAATATCTACATCTTTTTATGGTGCCAATCAATATTAAATAGGACCAATGATATGAATAAGATGTCTCAAATAAACATTATAATACTTTGTTAAAACTAAATTAACTTTAACTATAAATAAATGTAAAGAGTAAAATGTAAATAATAATAATACATTTTGACTTCAGGACTATTTACCTTTCTAATGGATACATCGGAATCGGAAGACACGCCCGATATAAAAAAAATAGTAGGAGTTTCTAGACATATATGAATATATATCGTGTTTCTGTAGCATTTTACCAATAATCTACGTCTAATAGTATTTTAGAATGAAAAAAATCTTTGACAGACATAGAGACATAGCCACCGAGGTGACTCTAAAAGTGATCGAATTTTTCTAAATTTAGCAGGGAACAGCAATTAATGATGTTCATAAATTCAAGCGCACGCGAGCGAAGCCGCGGGTAAAAAGCTAGTCTATGAATATAACACTAGTCTTCAGGTTTATCGTTTTTGCATGGATTTTTCACCAACAGTCGGTCTCGAAGTTATTTCGCGTCTAACAATTGGGTATATATCAAATACACAAACTAACCCATCATAGTTTTACTTTTATAATTCTACCAGTCTTAACTAACATATCCGTAATCTCTGCCAACCCCTCTGGATGACAGGTATCTTTGTATATATATCATAAAATAGCGATGTTATAGTGACATGTAGGCATTTCAAAGAACAATGGCTGGAGTAGGTAACATCAGAGGATGACAGTTTGATCATATCAAGGAAAATAAGATCCGAAAATTTAATTGTTTGAGAGCAAACAGTAGTAGTTCAATCCCCGCCGATAAATAGCAGTCAATACTGCCGCTATATTTCTGACAACCAATCAAACAGCTACCCTATAATACACATTTACGTGGTAGAGCCATGCTGCAGCTATATTAGTAGTATAGTTGTAGCACGAATGGGTCGGCTCGACCTGGGAAGGACCACGCTCTCACAGAATACCAGCGTCTTTAACACTGCTGTGTTTCGTATGGTGAGTGTAGAGAACCGGAGACCCTTTTTACTGGAAAAGAGGCATTCCATCTTAGTCCTCACGGGTGACGACGCATCTGCATTTTGATTTGAAAACGAGGATAAAGATGTTTATGGGCCACAGTGACCACTTACCATCAGGTGGACTGTGTGCTCGTTTGTCACCCTATACAATAAAAAAAACATTTCCTTTCTAAACAATCTAAGTTTGGATGATTTTTCGTTAATTAAAATAACGCTTCTTCTCACAGTTCTGGGAGGTCATCTCCGACGAGCACGGCATCGATCCAACAGGAGCATATCAGGGCGACTCGGATCTTCAACTGGAACGCATCAATGTGTACTACAATGAGGCATCAGGTGGCAAGTACGTACCTCGAGCCGTCTTAGTTGACCTAGAGCCCGGTACCATGGACTCTGTGCGCTCTGGTCCATTTGGACAAATCTTCCGCCCTGACAACTTTGTATTCGGACAATCTGGAGCTGGCAATAACTGGGCTAAAGGACACTATACGGAAGGAGCTGAATTGGTTGACTCTGTTCTAGATGTTGTGAGGAAAGAAGCTGAAGGATGCGATTGTCTTCAAGGTTTCCAGCTAACGCACTCGTTAGGCGGAGGTACGGGATCGGGAATGGGGACGTTACTAATTTCAAAAATAAGGGAGGAGTATCCCGATCGTATTATGAACACGTTTTCAGTTGTCCCGAGTCCAAAAGTATCGGATACGGTTGTTGAACCATACAATGCCACATTATCCGTCCACCAACTAGTGGAGAATACGGACGAAACGTTTTGCATAGACAACGAGGCGTTGTACGACATTTGCTTCCGTACGTTGAAGTTGTCGACGCCGACGTATGGTGATTTGAATCACTTGGTGTCCGCGACGATGTCGGGCGTGACCACGTGCCTACGGTTCCCGGGGCAGTTGAACGCGGACTTGAGGAAGCTGGCGGTGAACATGGTGCCGTTCCCGCGCCTGCACTTTTTCATGCCGGGATTCGCGCCGTTGACGTCACGCGGCAGCCAGCAATACAGAGCGCTCAGTGTACCCGAGCTCACGCAACAAATGTTTGACGCCAAGAACATGATGGCGGCTTGTGACCCGCGTCATGGGCGCTACCTGACAGTCGCAGCCATTTTCCGCGGCCGCATGTCCATGAAGGAAGTCGACGAACAGATGTTAAATATCCAGAATAAAAACAGCAGCTACTTTGTCGAATGGATACCCAATAACGTCAAGACTGCCGTCTGCGATATACCGCCTAGGGGACTGAAGATGTCTGCCACATTTATCGGAAATACCACAGCAATACAAGAGCTATTTAAGAGAATATCTGAGCAGTTCACCGCCATGTTTCGTAGGAAGGCTTTCCTTCATTGGTACACTGGTGAGGGTATGGATGAGATGGAGTTCACAGAAGCGGAGAGCAATATGAATGACCTGGTGTCGGAATACCAACAGTACCAAGATGCGACGGCCGACGACGAGGGAGAGTTCGACGAGGAAGTTGAAGAAGAATAAATATTGTGATCGTCCAATGTTTTGTACATTTCATGTTGTCTGGTGTTTAGTGTTAGGCGTAACCTGTTTGTTTTTGTTAAGTGTCGGAAAATATATATAATATACAAACTGTTTTTTGTTATTCTTTTGTTTTAGACAGGGGTGTCACTTCCACTATGGAAGGTATGGAGCACTCCATACCTCAAGTTTTTCAAGGTATGGAATTCCATAGCTGAAATTAGGAAATAAATCGCATATTACTACAAACCCCATATAAATAAATCGCAAGCCCTTAAACCTCAATACCCCACATCTTATAGTTCAATAAATAAGTTGAGTATATACACTGCAAACTCTTAAACCTTAATACCCCACGAGTAATGCGAACAAATTTGAAAATCGCGCCACCATTTTCCATACCTCAGATTTTTACAAAGTGACACGCCTGGTTTTAGAAGTCTAGCAGTAGTGTAATAATCAAGCAAAACATTCCATTCTCCTTCAGAACTGTTATGTCGACTACATATTATACTGTTTAATGCCAGACCTCCAAAATGAGTTATTTTGGTTTGAATTACCCCTTTGTAGATTTTCTCCTCTGTATATTATAAATTGAGCCACAAAATATATAGGGCTGAGGTGTTAGCCCAAATCACTTGTTTGTGTAACTAATGTATATCGGATATCCATGTTGTAGAAATTAAATGATTGAATGTGAAAAAAGTTGCCATACGATACTTATGCTATATTTGGCTTTAACCAATTGTACTAAGGCCAAGCAAGTTAGTAGAACTTATATAACATGACATCTCATTTAGTCATGGCCGTAACTTGCAACAATTCTGCAAAGTTCTCACTATTTTTGATAAAATAAAAATTGCTAGTCTATTAAAATGCGAAATGACACGTGGTCCTTCACTGCTGGCGGTATGAGGAAGCTCAAGGTCGCTCAGCGAGCTATGGAGAGGGCTATGCTCGGAGTTTCTCTGCGTGATAAACTTAGAAATGAGTATATCCGCAGTAGAACCAGAGTAACCGACATAGCCCAACGAATTAGTAAGCTGAAGTGGCAGTGGGCCGGTCATATAGCTCGAAGAACCGACAACCGATGGGGAAGAAAGGTTCTCGAGTGGCAGCCTCGTATCGGTAGGCGAAGTGTAGGGCGACCCCCCACGAGATAGTGACGACCTGGTAAGACATGCAGGAAGTCGATGGATGCGGGTGGCTCAGGACCGTGCTTTGTGGCATTCCTTGGGGGAGGCCTATGTTCAGCAGTGGACTTGTGAAAGGCTGTAATGATGATGATGATGATTAAAATGCAGTCCTAACTGCATGCTACCTCTAGCTTGGTTTAAGCATTTTAATATACGTTTACTAACCTTTGTACAATTTCCAAAATTCGACAATTAATACCTTAATACCTAGAACACATTCTGCCAAACATCCTAAATAATATATCCCTGTAGATTTAGTACTTAGATCGTATATCCACACTCCTATAGCGCAAGAACTCCCGTAGTGGGCCGTAACCGCTGACATTAGACGTCAATTTGGCTCAACCTACTTGATGTCGGCGAATCGGGTGACCAAATATGCTGGATTATTCCGTTTATCCACCCCAGATGAGGTGGATAATCGGAATTCACTTTTATTTGTTCATCCAACTTTCTACCCCAATTAAGTACAATTTAACAGAAAATGTATTCATAAATGCAAATTCCTACTGCTCTTCCCTCTTAGATAAACTAATATAATCGGGAGTCTTCCCTCTTTCTTGCCGGATTTATGTGGCGTTACTTAGATTTAGATAATTAAATACCGAGAAAGATTATTTTTTGCATTTAAAAAAAAAGTTTTTCTGATAAAATATAGCCTAGATCACCCCTGACATTACTCTGTACCTGTTCGTGAATTTTAATCGGTTCAGCCATAGACTTAGAATATACTAGTGTAGGTTCAGCTATACAGAAGAATAGCTCGAACAGACACACTCTTTTAAAATTATTATTCATGTCTTAATGGCATACAAATAACACCAGCTCAGACAGACACTTAAAATTTTATTTATGTTTTTAAATAAATTCACACAAATAATTTATTAAAATAAATAAATTAAATACAACTATCGCGAACTCTACTCATCACTGTCTTCATTGGGCGTGGTCTCCTCTTCCTCAAACTCTTGATCAGCTATCGTTGCATCTTGATACTGTTGGTATTCTGATATGAGGTCACTCATGTTGTTGTCGGCTTCAGCAAAATCATTTTCATCCATCCCTTCACCAGTGTACCAGTGAAGGAAAGCCTTCCTTCTGAACATCGACACAAACTGTTCCGAGATGCGTTTGAAAAGCTCCTGAATAGCGGTTGTGTTACCAATAAACGTGGCAGACATTTTAAGTCCTCTTGGAGGAATGTCGCATACGGCTGTTTTTACGTTGTGAGGTATCCATCCCACGAAGTAGTCTTTGTTCTTCTTTTGAATGTTTAACATCTGTTCGTCGACCTCCTTCATTGACATGCGACCGCGGAAGACGGCGGCGACGGTGAGGTAGCGGCCGTGGCGTGGATCACACGCCGCCATCATGTTCTTCGCGTCAAACATCTGCTGCGTTAGCTCGGGCACTGTGAGCGCCCTGTACTGCTGACTGCCTCGTGACGTCAGCGGCGCGAATCCCGGCATGAAAAAGTGCAAACGCGGGAACGGCACCATGTTCACCGCCAGCTTCCTCAAGTCCGCGTTCAGCTGCCCCGGAAAGCGTAGACATGTCGTCACGCCGGACATCATCATCGACACCAAATGGTTCAAATCGCCGTACGTCGGCATCGGCAACCTCAACGTTCGGAAACAAATGTCATATAATGCCTCATTGTCAATACAGAAAGTTTCGTCTGTGTTTTCTATAAGTTGGTTCAGAGACAGCGTCGCATTGTAAGGCTCTACTACCGTATCTGAAACTTTCGGACTCGGCACTACCGAAAACGTCAGTACGATTCTATCTGGGTATTCCTCCCTCAAATTGGATAGCAGCAATGTCCCTAATCCAGAACCAGTGCCTCCTCCTATCGAATGTACTAGTTGGAAGCCTTGCAGACAGTCGCAACCTTCGGCTTCTTTTCTGACAACGTCGAGAACCGGTTCGAGCAAATCTGCGCCCTCTGTGTAGTGTCCTTTAGCCCAATTATTGCCTGCACCGGTCATCCCATACACAATATTATCCGGTCGGAAAATCGAGCCGAAAGGTCCACCTCGTATGGAATCCATAGTACCGGGTTCTAAGTCGACTAGAACTGCACGAGGCACATATTTGTAAGCGGCTCCCTCGTTGTAGTAAACGTTGATTCTTTCTAGTTGCAGATCAGAGTCGCCTTTGTAACATCCTTCGTTATCAATACCATGTTCGTCTGATATTACCTCCCAGAACTGCAAAGTCAAATGTTATAAATATATTAATATGTTATATGAACAAAAGTTATACATTTCCTATCAAATTAATAATGGAATCTAATGGAAGAGAAAACAATCGCAAGTATAAACTATATAACTATTTAAGAGCCGTAATAGTAAGAGAGGATCCCCGACGTCACTAAGTTGTATAACACAATTTTAAGTGCTAGGTGATTAAGTAGGTATTTGTTGAAGAAATACTTTATAAAGAAACCCGCGTATATAAGAGTCATTAAAGTTACTTCATATAAATCTTAGAATTTGAAACTATGATTCTAAAGTTGATAAGTAAATACTGGTTGTAGTTAAAAACGGTGTTGTGAAATACTTTCACGTGATCTATCTTAGTTGATTTTCTCAACACCAAGAAAATTTTATTTCGTAGATTTCGTATCTGAAAATAGTCATAGTGCATTATCTTTTACGTTAGCAATTTTTCTCTCATCGCCGTATAGTGGCGGTGTATGAATACAACTGCTATAAATCGTCCCATGTTGTTGTAAGAGGCGTCAGGGGGAAACTGAAACAGGAGATGGGTAGCAGCATCTTCCTGATAACAACTCTAAATAATCACAAAACTGCTATAGCATACCCAAGAGCCAAGCGTGGCAACTATAGCAACATCACCCTTATGAGGGAGGCCTGTGTCCAACAGTGGATTGGACTTATTGCCTACTAGAATAGAATGGAATTTTTCTTTTGTATGTGATAGCGGCTTAAAAACACATTGCCTCACCAAGCCCCGGGTGTATCATTTATTATATTATAATCTGTGGTAACGTAAGAAGCGCCTCTTACGATATTGCTAATTAAGGGGAAAATAAGAGAAAATTCGCACGGCTTAGAATAAATAATAGTAGGTAGTTATAAACCGGTACACGGGGAAGTGAAGTGTCAGTAGCACAAGAAGTCTGGTACTGCGGTCGTTATTCTGCTTGCAAAGAGTGGCGTTAATCCAAATCCTCCAAATGTGAGAAAAGACTAAAATGTTCAGTTGGAATTTTTAGGGGCTGATTAAGAATCCTACATAAAGTCTGTAATGTTATTTTGTATTTAGTTAGAAAAAAAAAAACACTGAGTTTTAAAATTTACATGGAGAAGATTAAAGGTCATGTGGTAACGTCCATATTATGCCACCGGTATTTGCTGGGAACACTATGCTCGAAGTAGGTTGATTTTTAAATAGGACTAATAACTGTCCGACTAGGTAATTCCATCTTTTTTTATATAGGATAGGGTGACAAACGAGCACACAGTCCACCTGATGGTAAGCGGTTGCTGTGGTCCATAGACATTTACATCTATCCTCAATAAAGAATCAAAATGCAAATGCGTTGGCACCCGTGAGGACTAAAATGGAATGCCTCTTTTCCAGTAAAAAGGGTATCCGGTTCTCTACACTCACCATACGAAACACAGCAGTGTTAAGCTGCTATTTTACGCTGGTATTCTGTGAGAGCGTGGTCCTTCCCCGATCGAGTTGACCCATTCGTGCTACAACTATACTACTTATATAGCTGCAGCATGGTTCCACCACGTATATATTGACCTAAAGGTCAATCGAAGGATCCAACGTGGCAACCGGCTGGGCGGCGTTTGGGAAATTACGACACGTTTCGTTACGCATGCATACTTCAAAACTTGATAACAAGTGTGTACTCTGGATCTGGATCTTATACAAGTTCCTTTACTGCTGGCCGCATGAGGAAGCTTAAGGTGGCTCAGCGAGCTATGGAGAGGGCCGTGCCTGGAGTTTCTCTGCGTGATAGACTGCGTAATGAGGAAGGAATATCCGTATTAGAACCATAGTAACCAACATAGCCCAACAGATCAATAACCTGAAGAGGCAATGCCGGCCATATTGTTCGAAAACCGACAACCGTCGGGGAGTTTCTAGTTCTACTTACTCCCTCACTAGATTGAGTGCCGATCAGGTAAGAGATACAGGTGGCTCAGTACTGTGTTTAGAGGCCTATGTTCAGCAGTGGACTTGTGAAAGGCTATAATGATGATGATGATGATGAATTCTACAGTCAAAAACAAAACATATTGCTATAAGACAAACCTTCGAGCCGATTTGGTTTCCGCACCTGCCGACTTGAATGTGAACTATTTCCCTCATTTTGTTCTTATTCGCTGATATTCACGTAAAATTTAAAAAATAAATATAAACAAATAAATCTTAATAAAAGCTAAAACTAATATCTAATAACTCTAAATTACTATTTACATGAGTTACCTACACTATAAAACTAACATAACTAAATAATACTAAAACGAAAACCGTCTAGATTTTATTTTAAAACATGTTGGTCACAGTGTTCCATTTTTTATTAGTAAAGTAAAAAGTAAAGTTGCAGCCTATTTACGTCCCACTGCTAGGCACAGGCCTCCTCTCATTTCTGAGAGGGTTTTAGGGCAAGGAAATGTCCGCCGCGCTGCCCCAATGCGTGTTGGCGAACTTCACATGTCTGCGAAATATTTTTTTCTTATTTCTCAGACATGTAGGTTTCCTCACGATGTTTTCCTTCACCGCCGAGCACGTGGTAAATCAGTACTTAAATTGATTAAATTGCAATTAACAATTTCATTGGTGCCGGCGGGGATCGAACCCGGGTTGCTCGAGTACTGTGAAGCTACGATCATTGACGTATAATTTACTTATTTGCGACGAGCTGATACCCGCGACTTCGTTCTCGTTGCTTGATATATTAACAAATTGATATGAATGTCAAAATGATATGAATGAGATTGATATGAAGAAAACGAAATATAATATGCTTGCCCTTCTTCTCCTCAGCAAGAAAACACACATCACTGACCACATAGTGCTTATAAAAATCGTTGTTTTTTTAAACTTTAATAACTTTATATTAAATGATGATATTACAATATTTTTTTTTTGATAAGGGCCAAGTATCTTAGACACAAAACTTAGAAAACCTTATTAAAATCTGTCCAGTAGTTTTTCCGTGATGCGCGCACAACTGCAAACCTCTATCATTAGACGATATTAAATCTAAGACATCAAAGTCAAAAAGTGTATTTTTTTTTGTTGTTCAACATGTATTCGCGTTTTCAGATCCATATCAAATAACGGTAGAAATGACCTACAATTTTTAAATTGTTGATTATTTCTCTACGTTTGCACGTTACTTTACTTGTCGTCTCGCAAATGACAATCCGAGTCCGTTGAGGCTGTAAAAGCCGTCTCGCTTACAGCACTAACATCGATGTAACTGCACAAGAGGAAATCATGATTTTTTCATATTCCCACTACACTAGGAAAAAACAATCAAGCGTTGGTTATATGACACTCGTTTGGCCTCTAACCGAAGCATCATCAGGAGTAATAGACTATGATGGCTAACCGTTAAGGGAAACGTCCTCCAGACCGAATTTCGGTCACGATGGCCAGTCTCATACCCCATATCGTCCCGTGGGTGTCGTAAGAGGCGACAGAGAAAAACAAATCAGGAGATAGGCAAGACGCTGCCTTCCTAATAACGACTAAAATAAAAAACTGCGATTGCCAACCCGCTTACCAAGCGTGGCAACTATGGCAACTATCACCTCATAAGGCAATCTATGGGGGCGACCTATGTTCTACAGTTTTATTAATTATTTTATTATTTATTTCTAAAGAAAGTTACCCCCACGCTAGGATTTTCTCCTGTATCGTGGAGGCAGTTTACAAACATAAATTGCACGAGGACAGACATCCAGACCCGGAACAATTATTTGTAGGCCATACAAATTGTTCCGTGCGGGATTCGAACCTGCGACCCACAGGGCAACAACTCAATTCTAAGCCACTGCGCCACGTAGCCGTCAATAATTATGGACAGCAGCAGTGGATCTTAATAGACTGTAATCGTAATGGTAATGGCCAGTCTCGACGTAGACTAGTCATATCCGCACGACACGCTAATAGACTTACTCGAGTGTGTGTGCGCAAACACAGGTGCACTCTATTCCCACACTTTCAAAATACACTGAACGTTCTATAAACATATCGAGCAAGAAAAAATAAAAGTATCTACCACGCCCACTACAACCATAGACTAATAAGTACTAACGAATCTACAAAGTATGAAATATGAATACCATAATACGCGTGTATTATACAGGGTTATTATTTTGCAATAACCGGTCAAATTTACAGATAAGGTTCAGAATAAGTACTATAGGCAAATGATGAAGAAAAATTAATAAAAAAATCTCAAAACTTGTATCCTTTTTATTTTTTAAATTCAAAATGCGTGGTAATGCATTAATTTAACTATTTTACTGCGCACGCACACATTCGTAAGGGTTGATCGGTAGGCAAAAACGTTGTTGCCCATAAATCACACTCTATTTGGAATAATTTCAAATAAAAGTGGAAGTCTTATTTACTCGTATTTTCAAAAACTGCTATATCGGTATATCATTATTTATATGTATATTTGAACTTAAGTTTAGAATTTGCCTACTCTTTGAAAAATAACCCTTTATAATATATACGTGTTTTCTGTCTGTACGTTCTATCTGTTGTTTGTAGGTCATTTTGTTCTCATCTGAGTTTAACCCTTAAATTCGCTTTGTTGCATATCTGCAACATACCAAAAATTGATCTAATGTACAAACTGTAGTGACGTGTATCCGAATTTCATCCACACAGATAATAGAAAATTTTGTTTTCTTTTTGACAACTGACAAGGCGGTTCAATTTTGAATTTCGAAACCATAAACTTTCTATGTGTATGTTCGCGAACGCGCGAAAAAGTGGATTAGTGAATTGTTCGAAGATTTTTTTCAGTTTGCCTGTATTTTTGTAAGGTGAGTGGTGTTTGTTTTTATGTTTTCAGACATATTATAATACTATGAAAACGGAACAAAATTAGTTTCGCTGTAAATACAGGGTTTTGATATACTTTTTTATCAAAATCAGTTTGTTGCATAACTGCAACATCGCGCATTTATAGACATAAATAGTTTGATTTTCGTATGTTTCATACGGCATTTTTTCTACATTTTCGTACGTATTTTTTTCTAGAATGCCGAGGACGCTGGATTCGAAAACCATTGAGGAATACCTCCAAGTCCTGGACGAGTCTGAGGATGACATGGATTCTTCAGGAGGGGAGGAGGCAGATGAAGAAATTTATTATGAGAATAATCGACAGTTATTGGCAGATTTGGTAAATGAGGTGGATGCTGAGGACGTAAATTTTTCTGTGGAAGGTTCTAGTGATAATCCGCCACTTATTATTGATAATGCTGATGAGTCATCATTGGAAAACGAGAGCGAGGAGCCACAGAATCACCAAACTGTTGCCTCTCGTCAATGGTACGGCCGCGTGACTTGGAGACGCACAAATCTCACCACTATTCAAAACATTCAAAATTTTCCTCAAAGTATACAGTACCCAAATAAAATCTTAGAATTATCGACGCCATACCAATTTTTCTCATATTTCTTCACCCAAGAACTGAGAGATAAAATCCAGACAGAAAGTAATTTGTACGCTACCCAGAAAAATCTATCTAATCCATTTGTTATCTCTAGAAATGATCTGAATAAGTTCCTAGGAATTCTTATTTATTCTTCTATTGTAAAAAACCCTAACTTTCGGTTGTACTGGTCAGATCAAGGTACGTAACCAAGGGCATCTATCCCCTTGGTTACGTACCTTGCAAAAGAAGGAATTTACTGCTTAGGAACCATCCAATCAAATCAAATCCCAAATAACAAACTGCCAGATAAGAAAACTTTGATGAAGAAATCAGTACCAAGAGGACACTATGAGGAGCAGGTTGCCAATGTTGATGGTGTCGATATCAGTGCTATAATCTGGAAGGATAATAGACCAGTTACTTTGCTTTCAACGTATACCGGATCCTTGCCAATAACCACTATTTCTAGATATGATAAAGTGACGACACAAAGAGTACAAATAAATTGTCCACAAGTAATAAAAGATTATAATTCTCATATGGGAGGCGTAGATCTGCTTGATAGTTTTATTGGAAGGTATCATATTACACGCAAAAGCAGAAAATGGACAAACCGCCTGTTTTTCCATCTTCTAGACATGACCATTATAAACTCCTGGCTATTATATAAAAGAACTCTCAAACAGGTCAACTCAACCACAAAGCCTATGAACCTGTGTAATTACAGGCTTGAGTTGGCAAATGCCTTATGTAATCTCGGTCCACAGGCCAATGGTAATAAAAGGGGCCGGCCAAGCTCTTCTTCTTTAGAAGCAGATTTTCAGATGAAAAAAAAGCGTGGGCCTGCACAAAGTATGCCTCCTAAAGATGTCCGCTAAGATAAAACGGGCCACTGGCAGAAATGGGGTGATCGATCAAGGTGCAAATATCCTCACTGCAAGGGTTATACATACACATATTGTGAAAAATGTAGAGTAAGTTTATGCTATAATAGAGATAATAACTGTTTTTATAAATTTCACCATGATTAAATAAACTACATATTATAAAATTTTATTGACATAGTGATTTTAATTTTCACCCATCCATCCAATCCCCATACATAGTATAGTTCGATAAGTGCGCACAGTTGCAGATATGCAACATACGATTTTTTTCATTTTCAGTGGCTATAATTCAAAACTATTTTTTTTTAACTATTTTTCCTGTTCTCTTTAGACCCCTATAGAGGTAAAAAAAATTATTTTAGAATAATAAAAAAAATACCGCATTTAAGGGTTAATATATTATAAAAGTACGACTATGATGCCCGTTCTATCTGTTGTAGCTCATTTCGTTCAGAAAAACGCGTACGAATGAGATGTGTTGATGTTATGAAAACTATTTTATATTAATAAATCTAGACGATGGCCTTAGAAAATTATCTGAAAGGGGATTATAAATTATTGCCATTATTTTGAACAACACTGAACTACGCGGTTACGAAACCACACAGGCGGTTTGGTAACTAGTACCTATGTATGCCATGCACAAAGCTTATTGGTACCTGCCATATTCTCGTCGTTAATTCGCTGCAGGTCCATTTACGCAACGCCGCACGCAATGGTGGTACTCGTTGAGGGAACGGTAGAGGGCGTTGTTGCATATGGTTTATACTAAGATTTTTTTTGCATCTGCCGATATGGTTACGGCATGAAGTGGAACGTTATAGTAGGTAGAGAACTTAAGCTACCCTGCATCGATGACTTGACTAATTTAAACTTGAATAATTACCGTCTGTCGTTTATAAAATGTAATATTTCAATTAACCAGGACTTCCAAACATTTTACCAGATAAAATAAAACATACTATGAATGCCAAATTATTTTTATTAATATAAAAGAAATTAAATATGACCACCATAATTATCAATTTATAAATATGCAAAACATTACAATATGTCCGCTTGATTAACAAAACGTACGCCCTGTACATTCTTTTGTATATTTATCTTTGTTATTACAACAAAAAATATCCGAATAATAAAAATAATAGGAATATATCACATTGAAATAAGCTGAAATCAAAAACTAGCTTCTTATTTTAGATAATTTTGCTAATAACAAAAGTAGTTCTATATGCTTTAGAGTTGACTAAGCTTGGTTCCGCACCACTTACCCAAATCAACAGATGATTTTTTTTTATTATAGAATATGAGTGACAAACGAGCACACAGTACACCTGATGGTAAGTGGATGGTGTGGCCCATAGACATCTACATTTATCCCCGATTAAGAATCAAAATGTAGATACGTTGTGAGCCCTGAGAGTTAAGATGGAATGCCTCATTTCCAGTAAAAAGGGTCTCCGGTTCTCTACACTCACCATACGAAACACAGCAGCATTAAGCTGCTATTTTACGCTGGTACTATGTGAGAGCGTGGTCCTACCCCGGTCGAGCCGACTCATTCGTGCTACAACTATAATACAGTTGTAGCGTGACTCTACTACGTATAATTATCCCTTTTTAGTTTAAGGTCAGTACTTTTCAGAGTTTTCACACAAGAGAATTTCATATCGCAGCCCGACAAATCGGACATATGCATTGCGTTGTGTGAATACAAAATTTAATCACATTATAAAAAAATATATACCTATATAAAATAAAAAATTAAGATGAAATAAATAATAACCATTATAATTTATAAATTTCCGTTATATTAAAATTTTAATTTGTTAAATATTTCTGTTGAGAAGGATACCCTTGCTTTATTTGGGAAGGGTAATAAAACTCGTAATATTACTTAGGTCTAAACGTTTCACTACGACCGTTTAAATGCTTACAAATTTATTAAATGTTACATAATTACAAATTTATTATTAAACTAGCTGTTCCCCGCGACTTCGTTCGCGTGTTAGTGTTTTTATGTTTCTGCGCGGAACCCTGATTATTTTTCTAAAATAAAAGTAGCCTATTTTACTCCTTATGAAATCAGCTATCTGCCAGTGAAAGTCCCGTCAAAATCGGTCCAGCCGTTTCGGAGATTACCCGGAACAAACAGACAGACAGACAGACAGACAGACAAAAATTTTAAAAATTCTATTTTAGTTATAGGTATCGTATTTACTTTCATATGCATTTAGTAAAAAACTGTAATTTTGACATTACAAACAGACACTTCAATTTTATTTATTTGTATAGACTAGCTGTGCCCCGCGACTTCGCCCGCGTGTGGAATTTACTACGATTTCATGGATATCAATTTTTTTGCGCGGAACCCTAATTTTGTTTTTGAGTAATGTTACCATCTTATGAATATTGACAAATATTGACGTTAATATATATACGATACTAACGTCACTCAATTCCCGGAACCCATCCACTAACACTTAAACTTTATGGTATGGTATTAAAGTTCAAATTGAGTTTTAAGTATTATTACGAATCTTTTGTATGGGAATATAGAAAAGTGTAGTTTTTAGAATTTTTCAGGCAATTTTTTAAATTTTTCTCTCCATAAGAACCATCTTCGTAGTTTAAGGAATATTATAAAAAAAGAATTAGCGAAATTGGTTCAGCTGTTCTCGAGATTTGCGCTTAGCAACACATTCAGCGATTCATTTTTATATTATAGATGATTACAAATATAAATAACTTACGACATTAAAATTTGCATTTGATATACATAAATGAAAAGGTAGGTAAGTAATCGTAAAAACACACCCACAGTAAAATCACAATTAAAAAAAACTTCTAAGATCAGTTAACCACATAAAAAGTTATTTTATCGTACTTTTCAGTAAAGATACACTGAAACAGAGATATTTTAAAAGTATTAAAATGATCCCAAAAATCATTCCGATCCTAACGGAAATATAAAATCAAAGCGGCCATGTGATTTAAAAAAATCACACGATAAAGTTATACAAAAGAGATAAATTACAATTTGGGCGTTTAAATGTGTTTGTCTAATTTCTGCCGTATTTTTTTTTAAATATCATTGCCTCGTAAATTACGTTTATATTGGTTTATAATATTACACATAGACGAAAGATATGGTTTTACGAACTATTTTTAGATAAACAGTGTGCCTATGCTTTTATTAAAATTGGTGTTTTCTTTTTCTTAATTGCTATTTTCGACTCACTAGCATTAACTACTTTGGTTTGGGCCTGTCATATCTTATTTTATTTAAATATTACTTTAAAGTAGCTATCTGCGATGATGGTTTAAAGTAACATTTAAATAAAGAAAACTAAATCCAACTTCATAATTAGAAACTCTGGTGAATATGTTTATTTCGAAAATTGGTAACATAATTGTATTTTGTTCTTTCAATATAACAATTACGAAATACAAAAAAATGGCGATATTAACTCTGAAAATTTTTGAGCAGTGTCATAAAGTTGCCAGTATACATAAAAATTGATAATATTAAACAAAAGTCTCTTTATATTACATAATCTATAATATGACCCTCTATGACTAGCTTCGCAACATTAATGTACACTACCTTTATTATTAATTTGCCTTAACTTCGTAATTATCTTAATTAAAATTACTTACGAACTATATTGCCATTTGTTACAACTTACAACGCTTCAAAGATATGATAGTGTGACGGTGCTTATTGCAGTTTCATTATTCTATTACAAATAAATATTAAAAATAACGTAAATATAAACGTTAAACTAGCGGTAAGTAATCCCAAAACAAAATAACGTAACCAAAAAGAAAATGAACTTATTAAATATAATTTTAAACAACATGATGAGTGAACTTAATTTAGTTTTTGTTTTTTATAAAATATTAAAAATAACGATGTATATTTTTGTATATTTACTTGTTTATTATGCAATAGGTTGTTCAATACGCATATTATAATTTATTTTCTATTAAATGCAAAAATTAATATATCCAAGTAAAATTTACTAAAGTTAAATTTATAAACCGAAATAAAATTTATTAAACGTAAAAAATAAACTTTTATATATGTAGTAACATAGTACAGAGAAAAGAATAAATGCAACATTATAGACGCACGTATAATACACGATTCAATTTTTATGAAGATCGATCCAATGATATGCGATCTAGCGATTGTATAAATCGATTCATTACAATGCGATCTTCAAGCGACATCGATTCAAGAGTGAATCAAATCGCCTAGATTGTATTCGTATCCGACCAACTCACCGCGTCTAATAAATTTGTTATTGTCTTACAAATTAATTGGCGGACAATAATTATCAACGGTAAAACCGTGTAGTGGCGGTGTAAGAATATCCAATACCTCATATCGCCCCGTAGGTGCCGTGAGAGGCGACAGTGGTAAACTGAAATAGGTGATGATAGGCAGCATCTTCGTGATAACTTCAAATAATAAAATATTGTGGTTGCCAAACAGTCTGCCGAGTGTGGCAGTTATAGCATAATCCTTCCTATGAGACAATCTACGGGGAACGGGGGGGGGAGGGTATACTTAGCAGTGGACTTTTATACGCAGTATCATAGCGTATATCCATCCATGGATGGGTAAAATTTTCAGCGAAAAGACATTTTATAAAAGCTTTTAGAAAAATTACTTACGAACTTGTAGTAAATTTTTCTATTCTTTTACCTAGGTAAAAGAATTATTCTTTTAACTAGGTAAGACACATCATTTTATTTTATAACGCGGATATTTGCGAAGTAAATTTTTCTAAAAGCTTTTATATAAAGGATTTCCGCAAAGTAACGCCTGATTCTATTAATTATATTAAAAGACATTTTTTTATCAAGCAAGATCGAATACAGATAAATGCCAACACTATTTAATTTCTCCGCATTTTTAAGTCAGTGCTGGCGAATAATGAAACATTATGCGGGTAGACTAAAAATAACTTCTCATTTTAAATGTCATTTAACTGAATAGTTTTTATTAATTGTAGCTGTATTTCATAATTATTTACATCTCGTAGTACGAATAAGTCGCATGTTTATGTAATAACACATTATAAAAACAAAAATGTATGTGTGTAGTTACCACACTTGGCATGTAGGTTGGGAACTGCAGTATTTTATTACACATTGAGTTGTGAATGAATGAATGAATGAAATCAATATGCTAGTGCTACAGCAACATTGGTGTTACAAGAAATACACATAGCCTTATTCAGACGACCTTAATCATGGAAAAATGAACTTAATGACCTAACAGTTTGTTCCTCAATAGATATAAGTTTGCGTAAACGACGTTTTTGTTGGACAAGGTAGGTATATAGAAAGCGCGGAATAGCCTGTGAGACTTATTGGAGTCTAATATAGGAACGGATGTAACTATTTCCCATTGGTCGATGTCCTTGTGGTAAGCCGGCTGAAGGGTCGTTGGTGACCCGATGTCCGAGTCGACGAGATAGTGGCATTGGGACGGTGATAAGTAGGTTCGATTATCGCCTTTATTTTGGCCATTGAAATACGGGTGAATTATGCGGGTAGCTGGAAAGAAAATATATATTATTTTCAATAAGCTTAAGGTGATAGATATAAGTTGTTACTTTACTGCCGATTATTAATTAAACTTACCGTTACTAGTTTCTTCATAAGGCGCCGGCAACTGGCCATCGAATTCGCTCTGAATGAACCGTATCCTGTAACCTTCACTTATATGGAAGCTGGATGGTGATCTGTACCATTCTTTACCGAAACACACATTCTTGATTCCGTTATCGTTGGTTGGGATCTGACGGAGAATTGTCATCGGACCGTGGTAATTGTTATAGAGTGCTGTGATTCGCGATATGCCTGGTGATAGATAAAAACAATAATTAATGGTTGCCTCAATCAAAAGTAATCCGGCTCGACGGACCAATTTTTTAATTTGCCAAACATGACATTAAGACAAAAATCCTCGCTAAAACTGAATAGGCCCATGTCCAGCAATGGACTTTACTGAGAAAAAATCTCTGCATCAGCCCGTAAAAGCCTTCGACGATATTTTCAATTTCCGCTAGAAAAGAGGGAGTACTTATTACTTAACACTTACTAATACTTAACAATATTATTCATAAATGTTAGCAGGTTAGGTTTTATTTGTAATTAAAAATTATTGCTTGAAAAATGTAATATTTAGAGCATTTGTTTTACGATAAAGGCACGCTGCATTTATAATGTGGCTTGTAGCAAAAATGGTTTGGCGTGATCGGGGAAGGACCACGCTCTCTTAGAATATCCATGTATACTATCAACGTAATTCTGCTAGGCTTTGTATTATTTATTTTTTTGAAAACCACTAGGATTTTCTCCTATATCGTGGAGGCAGTTAACAAACATAAATTTCACAAGGACAAACATCCAGATTCGGTACAATTATTTGTAGATCATACTAACATTTATTTCGTGCGGCATTCGAACCCGCAGCTTTCAGCGCTGCAGCTCATTGCTACTGCACCAAGGAGTCGTCAAAATTCTGTATTTTCCGTTTCATACTTCGTCGCGTGATGAGGCCAAGAGACCCTTTTTACTGGTAACATGGCATTCCATAGACTGCAGGGATGATTTTTTGATTCTTAATAGACAATAGTCTGTAAAAATATAAACATAGATCCAACTTACCTCCTATTCCTGCCAATATCACGCACATAACCATAAGGGGGCCAGTGTACGCCAAATAGTGCCGTCTCTGTCTTTCTATTCGCCACCTTTCGAAAACAAATTTAATATAACAGTTTTTGATTTTATTTTTAATTTGCGGAATTTTGATATATTTCCCATAAACTATATTAAAAATAAAAAACTGCGGTTGCCAACCAGCTTACGAAGCACGGCAACTATGGCAAATATCCCTCTTTGAGACAATCTTTGGGGGAAGCCTATGTTCAGGTGTGGACTTTAATTGGCAGTAACGGTAACAGTCCATAAAATAAATGAAATAATAATTATAAAATGGCGGTATGACAAGGAAATATCATAAAATTTTAAGTTTAGAAAGTGAAGTTGACCAGTAGCGGGCTTAAAAAAAAAGCTGTTAATGTTAATGGAAAGACAAAACGGAAAAATTACCTAAAGAGTTCCGTTCCGACCGCAAAAGTCATCTTCTGAAGACAATCGACAGATATAGCCCCCGTCAACAGTATCATACTGTACACTGGGTACAAAAACCTGGAACAGAATAGGATAATTTTTATTCAACATAGATTATAATAATTCTTATTGGGTTATGTTTTACCTTTATCATGGAACCGGATTTTTTTTTTTTTACAAACTAACATTAACCTTTTTATACGTGGTAGAGCCATGCTGCAGCTATATTAATAGTATAGTTGTAGCACGAATGGGTCGGCTCAACCGGGGAAGTACCACGCTCTTACAGAATACCACCGTAAAATAGCAGCTTAATGCTGTTGTGTTTCGTATGTTGAGTGTAGAGAACCGGATACCCTTTTTACTGGAAAAGAGGCATTCTATCTTAGTTCTCACGGCTGACAACGCATCTGCATTTTAATTCGCAAACGAAGATAGATGTAGATATGTATGGGCCACAGCAACCACTTGCCATCAGGTAGACTGTGTGCTTGTTTGTCATTCTTAATCTATAAAAAAATACTAATATAATAATAATAATATAATAATTTATAAAACTTTATAAAACTTACCTTTCCTCCTTATGTGGCTGTAGCATAAATACGGCCTGCCATAGAGCCAAGGGCATAAGTGCGAGCCAATACGGCACACAGAAGGACGCCCGCGACGTTGACCGCGGAGCTATCGCCGTGCACGCCAACAATAGCAGCGGACATGACAGCGACAACACCTGCAAATTTTAATTGATTAAACACCCTTAAAATAGAATCATATTTTCAATATAAATTACGTGTAATTTTTATTGAAAGTAATTTTTTACTTTTACCACTGGTTCTTACCTCTGTCCTGGGAGAACCAGCAAGAAACACAACGGGATTTTTTTTTTTTAAAGTAAATCATACAATATGAAAGGTTGTACAAACTAATTACAAAATATATTTAAAAAACAGCAGCTCAAAAAATAGGGGTTATTATCAGCCATGTATTATACATATTCATGTATTATACAATACCTTTTTTTTTACAGATTTTGTTAAAAAAAATATATTTAAGCTTGATAATAGTGTAATAGCATATACTTTGCCCCATTAATGAATTACTGACTCTTGCAGTCTAGAAACATTCTAAACATTACCCTTTGACGGATTATCCTTAAGGCACGTGTTTAGGGGGCGCAAGTAAGAAATATTTTAAACGCAAAAAAATTAAGTAAAAGTAATAGTCGTAAGTATCTATTTACATAAAATAAAAATTATACTCTCTATGTGATTACTCCTACATCGCGATAAACAACAACATCGGACACGGCATCGACTTACAATGAGGTTGACTCTGTGCTCGTATGTCACCCTTATCTTTTTTTTTTAAACAGCTATTTGGTTCCACAATCATCTTTAATAGAATGTATTATAGTGGTAAATATAGTGTATTTAATATAATGGATTTCCGGAAAGTAACGCCTGATTCTATTAATTATTTCTTTTAACTTCTTACACTGTATAAAACTTACGGAGTAAACGCGGCTTAAAAACTGGCAAAATATTATTTCTAAAAATTGAAAATAAATTCATTATTTATATTTCCAATTCCACGTATCTCTATAAACTTACCCATACAATATTAAAATTCAAGACTCCATTCACAAAATAATAAGTCCACGGCTCCACGCCATACAAATCCGGCCCATGCTCCGTAAATATATTGTAGGCGAGAATGTTCCACGGAGCGATGACGAGACGCCCGTAGTGCCATGAGTCAACTAACACTGTGGGCGCCAGGATCAAGACGAGAGCTACCGCCGACCATTTGAAGAATTCCACGAAATGTCTTTTAAATATGAGCATATCGATTGCTATAGGCAGTCCAAGAATCGCTGTGAATGGCCAACCTGTAAAAAAACACATTTTTTTATGGGATAGGGTGACAAACAAGCACACAGTCTGCCTGATGGTAAGCGGTTGCTGTGACCTATAGAAATCTACATCTATCCCCAATAAATAATCAAAATGTAGATGCGTCGTCACCCGTGAGGACTAAGATAGAATGCAGCTTTTCTAGTAAAAAGGGTCTCCGGTTCTCTACACTCACCATACGAAACACAGCAGTATTAAGCTGCTATTTTACGTTGCTATTCTGTGAGAGCGTGGTCCTTCCCCGGTCGAGCCGACCCATTCGTGCTACAACTATACTACTAATGTAGCTGCAGCATGGCTCTACCACGTATAAAAATAGGATTAAAAGCTAATTTATTACACGAAACAGTACCCAAAAGGATGAGTACTTTGTGGCTAGTAGTTCTTAACTAGACTTGTGATTTTTTTTTTATAGGCAAACGGACATGCATTTAACATGGTAGAGCAATGTTAACTGTGTATATGCTCATATACAGACTACATCGTTGGTTTCGTGGTTGTTTTAGTGCAACTGCTAATCATGAAGTCTCAGGTTAGAATCCCGAGTCGGGCATAAAAACTAGTTATTGAGCTTTTCCATAAAGATATTTTCATTAGATGCCCGGAGTCAGGAAGTTGGCGGTGCTCCGCAAACTTCCTGACTCCGGGAAAGCATGTAAGCCGTTGGTTCTGCGTCTAATCTCTCTCCGTTCATGTCACATTGCCATCCCAATATACTATCAGAGTGAGGGAATAGATGGGGATGTGTTCGCGCATTCACTCAGGCACTATAATCTTGTCCTTTCTTGTCATTATAAGCTGTAACTTTATGCATTGTAGAGCCAAAATATTTACTTAGTAGAGTAGTGGCTGCCGTTAGTAAGACAGCGAAGGGATACCGACGCCGCCACCAGCAGGCTAAGGCGGCAGTGACCAGGCTGGAACTCCATGCGGATGGAAGCATTGCCGCACTACTCGCAAACATCCCGGCCGAGGGCAATGTGAGGCAAAGCCACACTCGCCCCACGTGAACTCCAAATTCGTGACACACTGCTCTGCAAAATTGAATTACTTTGCTTAATAAAAGTTTCCGCAACTTATTATGTCACCAGGGCGGCACCACTTTGGAATGAGGTAAAATAGAGTGAGATAAAATATTTAAGAGATAAGCAGGGCCACCTAATTTTAATTTATTTTTTTATTTTATTTATTTAACAAAATCCACAGCTCCTTTAAGTTCTTTTAACTATCTTACATATACATCTATATCTTACAGCCAATAAAGATTTACATTTTTTTTCCTGTAGAAAATATTTCATTTTAATGCTAACTTGATGATCGCACTTAGCGTGTGTGTGTGTGTGTGTGTGTGTGTGTGTGTGTATGTGTAAGTGTGCGTGTGTGTGTATATGTATATGTGTGTATGTATAATGACTGATGATTGATGATTCTATGGAAGTAAACAAAGTTTGGTTTATTCTCTATGTATCCGAGAGACTAATGAATTTTCGGCATAATTTGTTTTTGTATGTGCAATTATAAAAGGCTTTGTTTGTCGTGTTCTGGTTCTAGGACAGTTTAAACACAACATTTTGGATTCATCTAGTGGAGGGGTCGCCACTCCGTCTAGTGTGGGGACACTGTACACTTCGTCTACCAGTACAAGGTTGCTACATGAGAACCTTTCTTCCCCAACGATCTGCCACTTCAGCTTACGTATCCGTTGGACTTATCGGTAACACTGGTTCTACTACGGATATCCTAATTTTTAAATCTTTCAACCAGAGAAACCCTGGAAAAACGAATTTACAGTTCACCTAACGGTAAGTGGCTATTGCAGCCCATGGACACCTGAAGCCTACTTTCAAACAGAAAAGGGTACAAAAACCAAATTCAAACAAAGATGTGTTGTCAGCGCTGAAGACTAAGATGGAATGCCTCAGCCTGAAATTATACTGAATAGTTAGTTAGTTAGTTAGTTTACGACGGGCTGTTTTCCGCAACTCCACGTCTATGCGTGTATTTTACGTGGGCAGGAACAATTTGAGCCATGAGATCTCCCCAAAGAAGCTCAACAGTCCTTTGATGTTGTATGCAACTTCGGGGAGTGATCCCGGCGTGTCGAGATGTTTAACCATGTATGTAGCGACCTCCGGACATATCAGTAGCACGTGGGCCGCCGTTTCTTCCTCCCCCATACGTGCCCTGCACAGGGGACTATATGTAACACCTATAGTAAACAAATGTTTGTTAACACATTCATCACCACTACGATTTTCATGATGTCTTCTCGGATGCCGTCTACATTTTACGGTTGACTCGCCAGGCGAGTCGCCGGCACTGCAATATAAATTGAATCGACTCGCCACGCGAGTTCACTGGCACTAAGTAAGGGAAAATTCTATGTTTTGTAATTTTTGTGGCCGTCACAGTGTACTTAACGTGTTTAACGCAATTAAAAAGTGTTTCAGGACTATTCGGCTTGTAAAAATGGCAAAAAACTCTTTGGATTAAATAAAAGGTAGTTTGTTTCGTAATTTAAGCAGTGGTTGTCAACCTTTTAAATTGTGGTCATTGTTAAGATTATATTTTGAATTTCTAATACTTGTGAATAGACAATTTTACCATGAAATAATTTAATATATATCCTTCCCCTCGGACTCTCGAAGAGACCAGACGTGTGTGGTTTAGTTAGTTAAATACAGTTAACTTATGTTAAATTCCGACAAAATCAAATAAATAATTAGGAGTGCATAAAAGTGAAGAAGTGTTCACTAACTCTCAACACTAGTCCTACTAAATTCCCATGCAGCTGTTTGAGTAAAAGCCTTATTATTGAAGTGTTATAATTTTTTTTGCAAATTAATAAATAGTTCAAACGAGAAAAAAACGCTTAATCATTGCGTCATTGAATAAAACAGAGATAACATAAATGAATATTGTATGCACAGGACGAGAGATCAAGTGATATAAGACGGAAAGACCTTTTGTATAAGAATCGTCGATCAACGATCAGTTGCTTGACCTCTAAGCAAATAGTAACGAAACATTGGAGCTTGCAATAAATACGTAATACCTGATTGTTTATATTGCTCTGGTACATTGTTTTAACGTCGCTTTATGATTTCTCGCTCGCCACCGCAGTCTACTTCGCAGCCGCAGAATATTGTTGCTACTAGCGCGACCGACACCTACGTCTCGACGGCGGCCATCAACTTTACATCGCAAACACTGCCATTCAGACCCAAATATTTATTCCGATTCCGATGGCCAGCCGAACAGCTTACCGTACCAAAAGGAAGCGTGAGGATGAATTCGATACATTTAAAATTGATGTTAATAGAATGTTTAAGGAACTTATTCGAGAACAACAACAACAACAACACGCACGCACGCCCACACACATTCTTTATCTACTTTTGATTGGAAATAAACGATTATTATTATAATACGGGCTTTCAGTTTTAAGAATATGGTATGTATTATTTTTATTGTGAATATTAGTTCCATATCACAAGTATGTAGGTAGTCCATGCTACTATGTTGACGTCGTTATCTAACATGTAAATGGTTGAGGATCTATGTCAGGGAACTCGCCTAGCGAGTTCAAGGCATTGCAGAATAGTTTGTTTCCTTTCAAATTTAAACGGAGTCTCCACACCCGGCCCACCACGTAAATCTTTAGTTTAGCATATATTTAGTCTAAACTATAATTTTAAGCAGAAAATACGGATGCATTTTGGAAATATTAGTGAAAAACACTGAACTCGCCAGACGAGTCGTCGGCACTGGAATAAGATTTACGTGAACTCTCCGGGCGAGTCGGTGGTACTGAATGTGTTAAAGGTGCCGTGTCCTGTGATAGCACTTGTTACTATCCTGATCTGCGGCTTGTTCAGTCTCATTAGAACTTTGGTTAAACGACTGTTTATTTCAGGCAGGGCCTCCCTAGCTTGTCTACAGTCTATTAGATTTTTCCAAAGCTGTGCGTGTTGATTAGTGAAGTGTCCACGTACCAGTGACCGAACATTACCAAAGGGGATTGATTGGTATGATTGGTTCCGGCCCTATAGTGGCCAGAGCCAATCCTCTTCTGGCCAGTTTGTCTGCTGCATTGTTGCCTCTGGATCCACTGTGTCCTTTATCCATTGCAGAGTCACATTGTTGTTTTTACATACCTCATTTAATCGTAGACGGCATTCATATATTAGTCCCAAGTTCACCACATTGCTACTCAGAGTTTGTAGTACCGCCCTACTGTCGGTCAGAATTATACTGGATATCTATACTCTTCAGACTGGTACACACCAGTATTTGGCAGCAGAAATAGGTAAAAGAATCTTCCCAGACAGAAAAATATTAAAATATTTTAATTTCTCAGTCATGCAGGTTTCCTTACTTTATCTTGTCTTCCTTTACCGCCCTCAGGAAATTACTAATAAAAAAAAACCAGTGGTGTCACGGGGATTAATTAGGTTGATCGCATTTTATGATATTAAAGGCAAGCTGCCCAACATAAGCTGCTCTTGGCTCTTCAAAATGTGAATCTACTAATAAAATGAAAAATACAACGCACTTACTTATAAAACATCAGATCAGCACAAGCAGCCAGTATTGCAAGCAATGCTCTAATACTGTAAAATACTGTAACTGGAGTTGTCACAAAGGAAAGTATCTTTGCAGGCACTGCAAACAACCACAGCGGCATGTAGGACCGTATAGCGTAAACTGGGCTGTACTCCCATGTTTGTAAACCACTGCCATACACTGAAATTATACCAGAATTAATGTTAATAGAATAATAGAATCAAATAGTACGCTATACCGGAGAGATAGAATGTGAGGATTCCAAGAAGTATAACGGTGTGCCACTTGAGCTTTGTACGGAACTCGGAAACATGATCATATAGCTTTTATGTATGTATGCACACTTCTATTTAAATAAATATAATCTTCTTCACAAAGGTTTTAACAATAATATTAATAATTGTACATTAAGTATATTATAAGTTTGGTATAAGTGTAAGTGTTTATGTAATATATTGAATGCTTAGTTGAATTAGAATGTAAATAAATAAAAATTAAATACTTGTGCTAGTAATAATTCATATAAGTTGTTGATGGCAAATATAGCATTATAGTATTTCACAGTCTGTATCTTTGTTAGCTGCCTATTTATGTAATTTACATAAATAGGCAGCTAACATAGCATACCAACAATAAAAAAATACTTTAAGTCCCCAATCAGAATCAGAGAAAAACCCCAATCTACATAAAACAATATTATGCTTTTACTTTAATAGGTTAGCCGGGTTAGCCTAAAGAGCAGTCTGTATAGGTAATATTGTCTTACCTATACCACAACTAAGCAACAGTGTTTGTTTAATTTTGAATTGCAAATTAATTATAAGTAAATACAGAGTTTAGTCAGCAGGGGTAACTCATGTCTATAGTCTTTTCTACCGACTTCAAAAACGACAAGGTATTCAATTCGACTGTATGTTTTTTTTATGTGTGTTACCTCATAACTTTTTTCTGGGTGAACCGATTTCGATGGTTCTTTTTTAATTGAAAGCTGGTGCTTCTTATGTGGTCCCATACAAATTTGATCAAGGTCTGACCAATAGTTTTTGGGTTATTCTTAATAATTTATATTGAAGTCGGTTGAACAAAATTTTTAATTTTTAATTATTGATTGAAGTTGTTTACAGAAGGCCATAGTAGCCAGTTACCATAAGGCAAGATCGTAAGCTTAGGAATGAGTGTAGAAAATAAAATACAAAGAATTCAGGGAAGAACTCTAAGCCCCCACCCCACTTGTTTAAGCAGTATAGAGTATGATGCAAGGGACTAACTTGAATAAGGCATTCAATGAGTATATAACTGTAGCAAATATCTCCCTTATGAGACAGTCTAAAGGAGCCCTATGTTCAGCAGTGGACTTTATAAGAGTGTAATTATATTAGATATTAATCTCAATTACAAAAACTATCCAACTAATATTTTATAAATGTGTTTTATTAGCTTACCTAAATAATGTAAGGGCTCCCAATAATTATATGTTTCATCACAATCTGATATATGGCCCCAGTAGGCAGATATAATCCTGGCCACTAATAAGAGAATTAGTGCCACTGCGCCCCCAGGGTATGCAATACTACGTAGGTCTGATGGAGCATTTGTCATAAGAAATTCACTGCAAGATAATTTTAAATCATTAAATATAATATTTAGTATACATAAGTATGTATAAATAAAAAGGTTCACACTACATGTGCGGTAAAAAACTGTGGGTTGTCCTCATTTAAAGATACTGAATTAGTTTCATCAGTTTCTACATACACATTAATTTGTTTAAACAAATGAAATAAAATAAAGTCAGTTTTTTATTACTTCCCATTCTGACAATCCTGGTAATTTATTGGGCTTAGCTTTCCATTGACGTCAGTGGAGTTTGGTGTTGATACGTATTTTTACAGAAAGATTACACTATTATAAGCACACACACAAAGTCTCAATATACGGAAACACGTAATTTTTGAGAAAAGAATAATTGAAAATCAATTATTCTTGCAATGTTTATGTCTAATCTGCTAATAAACTGGCGCCATTTTGTAATGTCATTGTCGACGTCAATAGGGATGTCGATTCTTTCCGAAAAAGGTCGATTTTTAAATCGATTCAAATCGTAAGCTGATGTATCGGTTCACAAAAATCGATTTTTAAAATATCTATATTTTTTAATGTTTCTATTTATAATGTAAATATAAACCCATTTTATGAAAAACAAGAAAGATACCATGATAAATGATCTCTTATTGAAATTTGTTTTATTTAACAGTACCTATTAGGGCAGATAACAAATAAAATAGGTTAGGTTCAACTTATGTCAAAGAACCGAATTGATTGATCCTGACTCCACCTGGTACGAGTCTGTCCTACCCCTAGAGTGGTTTTATAGAGCCGGAGGCGCGTAGGGGGAGCAGCCTCCGGCTCTAGGGATGCCTGCGATTTGTTACGCTAAGGCGTAGAGGCTGCTCTTCCCGCAGTGCCGGAGACGTAGCAGTCTCAAAACAGATACAGAAATCCTTCTGAATCAGTCCCCCTATATTTTATGATGAGGGGGATGTTTTTCTCATAAAATGGATTTATATTTACATTATAAATGCAAACATGAAAAAAAAATATTTTAGAAATCGATACATCAGCTTACAATTCGAATCTATTTAAAAAATCGATCTTTTTCGGAAAGAATCTACATCCCTACTGACAATAACAATAAAAAAATGGCGTCAGTTTTATTGTAGGATTAGACATACACAATGCAAGAATAATTGATTTTCAATAACTTTTTTCTCAAAAATTATGCGTTTCCGTATATTGAGACTTTGTGTGTGTGCTTATAATAGTGTAATCTTTCTGTAAAAATACGTATCAACACCAAACTCCACTGACGTCAATGGAAAGTCGTACCATTTATTGTTTATGTTGGCTTTTCTGACAACATCAAACGCGATGACTGACTATATGTTCTTCTTAGGCTGTGGTATCAGTAAGTAAAAAGGGTAATTGCTGGTCAAATAGCACGAAAGACAGACAACCCATGGATAAGAAAAGTTCACAAGTGGCAATCTCATACAGTTAAGAGAAGTGTAGGTTCGCTCCCCGATTTCCACAGTGGCAACTTGGTAAAAGCTGCTGGAAGTCGATGGATGTAGGTGGCACATGACCATACTTTGTGAATTTCTGATAGGATGTAAAGATGATGATGATGGAGAAGCCACCTTTAAAGTTAATAATTTAATGGCATTAATCTCACTGTTGTAGCTCAGGAAATAGATGCTTACATTAAGTTCATGGTATACTAGCAACCTGACTTAAATCCCTACCAGCACCATACCATTTTTAATTGAACTTTTTAGTAATTTACATATTTCTACCACCAAATAAAAGTGTGAGAGATATAAAGAGAGCCAGTATAATTACATACTATGAGGCATTCCATATTAATCTGTTGAGATGACAATGTTACCTGTAGCCTACTTTGTTTAATGTTGCCACTTACTATCAGCACTGAATAAATATATATAGCTATCAGATTGACTGCAAGTGTGTTAGACACTTCAGTTTTTTTTAAATAAAATATTGGTGAGATTACATTATTTAAAATAATGTGAAATTCACCACTGCAATTTAAGGCAATGTGGCAAAAATTTCTTAGAAATTCGAAGATGCCAGTGCCTAGCAGTGCAACATAATACTATGTAAGTATTCTTAGTTCATTTTCAGCTTATGAGTGAATATACAAAAATAGGGTAATTTTCAGGGATATTTTGTTTATCATACTTTTCAAGTTAAATTTCTATAAATTTGGATATTGTATGAATTTGATAATGTAATGAATATATTGTTCTAAATCAAGCCAGTCACTTTTTGAGTAGATTTTGAAACATTTTGATTTTGTGAATTTGACTGCCAGGGGACTGACGAGGGCTACATAGTACTGATTAAATACACAATTTCATAAGAAATATAGGCATTGTATTAACACTGAGCAAATTTCTTTGAATCTAACTATGGCACACATAATAACGGCAAAATCTTTTAAATATTAAAATACATCAGTAACTATTAACAATAACTTAAAATATATTTTTAATAAAATAGAATATATATTATATTGTTACCCTCTACAATCAAGTGGGATTGCAGAAGACACTGGCTAAAAATAAGTTAAAAAAAAAATGGAAATATATCTTGTCGTGCTTGTGTGCAATTTTACGTTTATAAAACGTTTCATCAACATACGAAATTAACGATAATAATTCTAAACAAATCTAAATCTAGTCTAATAGTGGCGAATTGGCGTTTATAAAGGCGTTGCCAGTTATTGATACCTCTCACTTGTTTTACGTGTTTTCTTTCCTTTACTGAAACTCGTCGATCTCTTAGTCCCATTTTTATTATGTATACTTCTTTGTCTTGCTGTTAGGGGCATTTATTTTCTTTGTTCGTAATTTTTATTATATTACAAATAATTGTATTATTTTTAATTTTTTATCAAAATGCAAATAAAATACCATTAAATGTCAAATGTCATTATTATTATTTTATTTAAAGGCAAAGCAAAGGGATGTATGTCCATACAGCCTTATCTACGGAATTGTTTATAAAATTCTTTACAATATTATGCTGATTCGTCACATTGCAAATTTATGAGAGATTTTGGCAGTCGAACCCAGTTTAGTCACTAAACAACAAGGAAACCTTAGGCGGTGGTCTCCTATAAACGCCATCGGTCGCTTACAGCGTCACGCCGTACGCCGCGTTACGATGCTTACTATGTAAATGTACTGTTGTGCTCTCTTGCACACGCTGATGTCAGCGCATGGACGTCGTTGGCAGCGTTCAGACGCTTTGCGCTGCGTTTCTAGTTATTTCGAACCATTGTAGCGTGAACGTCGTGTCTAGCGTCAGTACAAAATGGCAAAGTTTAATAAAGAAAAAACGAGTTATTGATTAAGTCAATTAAATGTTATATTGCAATATACAATATAACTGACAAGGAACATAAAAATTATGTTTATTTCATTATCAATACCTGGAAATATCACAACAAGTTCATTTCTCTTCATAAATAATCGGTGCCTTGTTGCCTTTATTTTTTTGCGTATACGGTCGTCTTGTACCTCTTCTTCAAGTAACACTTACTATACTCTTTGAGTAACACAAGCGCCGCCAAGTGTAGAATTTATATCCATTTTATATACAAATATTACATACAACCACACGCGAGCACTGTCCGCTAATTATCTGTTGTGTGATCGAAAGTCGAGACGTCGTCCGCTGCTATGTTATTGACCGCTGACGCTGTGCCTGGCGTTCTGACGCCGCGCCGATCGGAACGTTTACGCTGAAGTTGGACGTCTATTGGGGGTAGGGAACAACATTTTTTCGATTCAGGTGTCTGTTTGCGAAATATTTAACTTTTAAGTTGTACTTGTGCCTGCTCTAACGAAACCCCTGTTTTTGAAAGTGTGAAAAGTATGCTCGACAGTAGTATATATTATAATGAAGTTAAAAATAAAACTACCACAGCTAAGTAGGCTTAACAAGTTATCGAATAACAGTTGACCAAGCTATAAAATGCACTTGGTTTAGTAAAAATAACGTTACAATTCCATATAAAATGGCATTATAACTTTGTAACGTTATTGTAAGCTGCATTTTTTTTTTTGGAAGAAAACGACTTTTGCATTACTACTATTCGTTTACTTTTTCCTTTGTGGGGTAGGCATAGAGAATCGATCGCCAAGAGGACGATCCTAACATACCATTTTTGCTATTTTTTAGATGTTAGTTATTGTACGCCTCATTACAGTATTCATACATTCATACAGCCTCATACAGTTTTATACGTGGTGCCTTTAGTTTACGCGGGCGATATTACGGTCATATATATCTTAGGGTTCCATTACGGGTACTGACAGATGGATAGTGCATTGTGACCATTTTTGTACGGGCTTAGCATTTGAATGGTTTGATGAAGATTACCAATCTTCCTGATCCTAGCGGTGGATCTGGTGTATGACTTCACCACCGACCTAGTTTCAGCGGCTGAGGGTGGAGAAAACGTCGTATTGCAATACCAACACTCCCCTCCCGTACCTCCCTCACTGCATCAGCGGTGCGGCCCCGCCAGTCACTGAGGGTATGGCTAGTGGCACATCCTCTTTCTTACGACTAGTGCAGTTGGGGGAGAGGATACCCCTTTCATCTCAGTCCACCAACACACATTCGTGGTAGGCCCGCCAATCCCATTTGGAGTGGCAACCTCTTGCCGGCCCTTCACCACGGGTCAGCCACGTTGGTTGCTTTTAGTTCACCTTGGGTGATGCTATGTTACCATCTTCAGCTACACGACCACTTACCACCAGGTGGGATAGTAGTGCACTGGCTTATAATAGCTAAGTAAAAAACTTAACTCTTATAATGAATGAATATTATGTCTCAACACAGCAGGCATGAATATCAGTATAACCTAAAAATCGAGTCTTCACCGAATAAGTCTTCGTCATATTCTTCACAAAGGGTTGCATTATACTTTGTGTTGATGACATTGAAGGTTGAACCTTATTGTGCACGCCCTTTAATGATTTTAAACTCTTTGGCGACCGTGTTCAATATATAAATAAACTTATCTATCTTTGAATCTACTCATTCTTAACTTAAATTTTGCTACAATGATGTTTCTAAACGTTTTGATTTTTATTTGATGATTGTAAAATATATTATATTTTGCATAACTTTAAAAAAAAGTGGAAATGGAATTCTTGCTGGTTATTCCCAGCGCAGTTTCTTTCCTAACAAGTGGTATATGACATAAATTACATTCAATGAAAAGGATTTACTTTGATAGACACTCCTGACAGGCGAATTGGCAATTACAATAACAGACGTCGTGCTGTGTTTGCCCATTTATGAATGTGAAACCACTTCATGATAAAGAAAAAATTTCAAGTGTGGGTGGTACTATATTACTATTTTTCTTACCTCTAAAATATACTATTTATACTATTCAAATCAAAAATTATACGAAAACATTAAGATATAAAGAGTCGAAATTAAAAAACAAATTAACATAGGTTACATTTATTTAAAAAAAAAATAGGTAGGTACTTGATTAACAAAACAGTACAAGTTTCCCTAACATGGTAAAAACGCTCCGTATTATGTAGGCTATAAATTAAAATATATATAATTATACTATAATAGCATTGCATAGGAAATGCTACCATTGTCTTAAATCTAAGCACTGACTCAAATTACACATATTATTTATATCTCTTTATTTTTTCCTCCTAGTTCTTACAACAGTCCATCCCGGTTCAACATCTTCATCCATTGGTTCTGGATCGTTATTTGTATGAGATGATGAAGCTGCATCACCATTTATTCTTGGAGCGTCAGGACTATCATCATCATCATCTCCACTGCTGCTTGTGCTGTCATCATCTGGATTACCGTGACACTTAAAAATACAAAAAAAAAAGTTGAATGTGACAGCAAAACTATTTCATCTCTAATTCGTAGTTTCTTATAACAGAACTTAACTAATAACAACTTATGACAGAACATATGATGGTTAAAATAATAAATTTTCCAGATACGGGGATTTAAGATAACATAAGGCTTTTTATGGCTGTTGGGTTAATAAATCTATTCTCATAGTTTTATCTTCCGTTTCTATTCACAAGGAAGGCCCAACTACGAAAAAATTTAGTTCAATAGTGTAAAATTGTTGGCAGACATCATGAAGCTAATACAAAGGGGAGACGGCATAAGCAACTGTGCACTGTGATTCTAAGTAGGTCCTGACGTCATCATAGTGGGTGTGGCTTTAGTTAGTATACTGTCAGCATTCGTCCTGTGCGCTTATGTATTGAAAAAATCGCAAATCGGTGTATTTTCGTAGTATTAAGAAGAAAAGGATGAAGTGTTGTGTTTTATTGTGTAAAAACTACTCAGATAGACGCTCTGATGTTATGGATGGCATCACATTTCATTTGTAAATATTTTTACACCTAATTTATTAAAATAGTTCTAGAAAAATCTCTTTGCGTCGGCTTTCAAATATAATTAAATATATTCGACACTAGATGGCGACACTTTGTGTCATGTGAACTAAAAATGGAAAGGTAGAGCTCAGTATTGGTAAAATAATCATACGAAGGTGCTGAAATTTGTTTTGCATTCAGACATAAAGAAATTTTAATCGCAAAATATCATTTTTATAGTTTATAATCATTTTGAGAACAGGCCGTATTCTCGTCAAGTAAACCTCATAAAATGACAAAAAGACAGGGCCCTAATTAGAATTCAATTATTTTTCCCAGTAATCCAACTTTTAATATTAAATGCAGGAAATTGTACTTAGGCTGATTTTTACGAAATGTTTAAGTTATATTTAAGTGCCATTCTATATGCAAAGAATCACTTAAATACAATTTAATGTTCTTTGTAATATTTGTAAATGAAATTATATTAATTATAATAATTTGTCTATTATTTGTTCTCCCTCAGAGATATTAAGTAGTATAACCCACACATAAATAATAATCCAGCCGTTTCTGCATGAAGAAATTACACATACTTAGTGTGGAATAAGCTCAAGGAGACAGAAAGAGCACACAAAATTTCGCCTTTATAATATTAGTGAGATAAGTAGGATATTTAGTTCCAAATTAAATATCCTACTTAATATTGAACATAGAATATTTAGTTTCAAAGAGACTTTATTTTATGGATAAAATAAATATTTCTTGGTTGACTTTCACGAAATGATAAACATATTTAAATTGTATTTAAGTGATTCTTTGCATATAGAATGTCACTTAAATATAACTTAAACATTTCGTAAAAATCAGGCAAGTACAATTTCCTTCATTTTAATATTGAATGTTGGGTTACTGGGTAAAATAATTGAATTCTAATGGCGGCCCTGTCTTTTTGTTATTTTTTATGAGGTTTACTTGACGATAGATGGCGGCCTGTTCGCAAGATTATTATGAAAACTACGAAAATATTATATTGGCGATTAAAATTTCTTTGTCTGAATGTATTTGCTTCATGAGATAGACGCTCCGATGCTATGGATGGCATCACATTTCATTTGTAAGTAATTTTACACCTAATTTATTAAAATAGTTCTAGAAAAATCTCTTTGCGTCGGCTTTCAAATATAATTAAATATATTCCACACTAGATGGCGACACTTTGTGTCCTGTGAACTAAAAATATAAAGGTATGTAGAGCTCAGTAATGATAAAATAATCATACGAAGGTGCTGAAATTTCTTTGCATTCAGACATAAAGAAATTTTAATCGCCTAAGTGTTATTTTTAAAGTTTATAACATTTTGTGGACATGCCGCCATCTACCGTCAAGGTAGCTAAGCTACATTGCAACATCGATATGGAAATATTCGAGTAGTTTTACTATTTATCGGTAGATGTAGATAGTGTAGTGGGCGGGGCTTTGCATCCCCTCACCCCGCAAATTGTCACGCGTTGTTACATAGTGAAATTTAATTACAACGTCTCCTCTTTGTATTTGCTTCATGGCAGACATCACAACTTTTTTAAGTGAATTTAGAATGTGAGGTGACAAAGGAATACACAGTTCACCTGATGGTAAATGGATGCTATGGGTCATAGACTATAACATCTATTCTCTGATAAGAATCGTAAATGACAACAGATGCAGTATCTCCCTTGTGGAGTAAACTGGAATGAGGTTCCTTACACTCACTGTATACTGTGAAAACGTGGTACTTTCCTGGTCGAGATGACCCATTCGCGCTACAACTACAAAAAAACACATGTCCTCAAAATATATTTTTTCAATTTCTCAGACACAGGTTTCCTCACACTGTCATGAACATGGTAAATTATATAATGTAGTATACTCGTATAATATTAAAATATTCAAAGTTAATAAATTGCTTACTTGTGGAGGCACGGAATCATGCATTGGCTCACTGAGCCACTTCTGACATTTGGGCATTGCTTCTATTCTAGCCCTTAACTCATCATGCCGCCCTTCTTTCAGTAAACTAAGGAACAATATGAGAAGAGATGCTACCTCTGAAATGCAAAATGAAAATGACCTAATTAACATAACCATGCTTAATTGTGTTAGTGTAACAAAAAAAAAAAGATAATTATTCATACCGAATAATCAAAATAAAATAGGTTTTACCAAAACACAAATTAATTAGATTAATACTCTAAAATAAAAATAAATTCTAAAACATTTAATATTCATATGGTACAGCATTCTCGTTGTGTAGTAGTGGCAAAAAGATATCCACTACCTTATATCATAACATGGGTGTCATAAGAGGGAACTACAACAGAGGGAAACTAAAATAGGGTATGGGTAATAACATTTTCCTGATAACAATATAAAATATTAAACAACTGTTGTTGCCAACTCACGTGTCAAGTTTGGCAACTATGAGTATTTTGTTTTTATAGAATAAGTGTGACAAACGAGCACACAGTCCACCTGATGATAAGTGGTTGCTGTGGCCTATAGAAATCTACATTTATCCTTGATTGAGAATTAAAATGCAGATGCATTGTCACCCCTGAGGACTAATATGGAATGCCTCATTTCCAGTAAAAAGGGTCCCTGGTTCTCTACACTCACTATATGAAACACTGCAGCATTAAGCTGCTATTTTACGCTCATATTATGTGAGAGCGTGCTCCTACCCCAGTTTAGCAGACCCATTCATGCTACAACCATAATATAGCTGCAGTGTGGTTCTACCAAGTTTAAAAGATAGAGATAGAGGTGTAAAAATAAGAGGTATTTTATCACATTGAAATAAGCTGAAATCAAAAACTAGTTTCTTATTTTAGTTAGTTTAGCTAATAACAAAAGAAGTTCTATATGCTTTAGATTTGACTAAGCTTGGTGCGGATAATATACCCAAATCAAGCGTTAAGCTGCTATTTTACGCTGGTTTTCTGTGAGAGCGTGGTCCTTCCCCGTTCGAGCCGACCCATTCGTGCTACAACCATAATATAGCTGCAGCATGGCTCTACCATGTAAAAAAAAATGCTGGAAAAGGCCTACATACAGCAGTGGACTTTTGATGGGGTGTAATGAGATGCTACAGTATTATCTATTACTCAGTAAAATGTTGTATTGATGCGTAAAATACAATATAAAATATTCTATCATAAATAAATAATATTAGAAGGTATAAATCCTGTTACTAGTCATAATTATATTGACATTTTTCTTATTTACGTTTAAGGTATCTATAGTATGTGTACATTGTTATAACACACCCCATTTTATTAATATAAATAGACTAACGTAGAATGTGCCACATCATAAGACAGAAGCATGGTGGCACTGGCAGTAAACTTTGAATGTTGAATATTTTGTTATTTCTGAAAGTTGACGACTGGTCTTGATTTAACTCATATGTTTCATTTTAATATTCTATACAAAAATATAATCAACATCAACAGCCATAAACACCATTCAAGATATCTGTGTGTGCATACAAATTGGCAAATGCCTACGTTTAAACATTAACTATTGTGCACATACTAATCTAATTATAGGTTATCATAATTTAATTTAAACATTTCACACAAAAATTATAAATTATATATTAATTTAATGACCACGTAGTAATGGTGTAAGAATATCTACTATTCTATATGATTACATGGATATTGTAAGAGGCGGCAGAGGTAAACTGAATCAGGAAATGGGCAGCAGCATCTACCAAATAATTAATAGCTGAATAAAAAAAGAAAAATAAAGATTGTGAGGCCAATGTTCAGCAGAGTAATGTAACTTATAAATTTTGTATCAAAGACAACATCAAAATTGGAACATTTACCTTTAGGTGAATCATCATGGCAAACAGTTTCAAACTCCTCATCCATCAAATCTTCCAGTAATTCTGTAAGATCATCCTGGTCAACAATATTCTCAACGCAGTACCTTGCAATGTAAACAGACATAAGTTGGGCGGTCTGTAATTTAGATATTTTCTAATTAAGAAGGTACATGACTAAATAAAATAAATAGTAAAAATAATATTATATAGTTGAATTGTGTTAAAATATTTTTCTTAAACTAGTATGAATATTGGTAAAAATAAAATTATCATAAATATTTCATTGAATACTTGACAATGAATACTCGTGAGTGGCCTGCACTTAATCATCAGTGTACTTCATAATTTACCGCCACCTTCCATAATTACCTAGCGAAATAAACAACCTGACAAAGAATCTTAGTAATTCCTTTGAATAGCAATTTACTACGGCAGTCAAATAATATACTATGAATGCGTATGTAATTTACAATAATTTTGAACATTTAAACGCTACCTTTTCACCTCCAGGAGCACCCATTCCATGTTCAACAGCCAGCTGCAATGCTGTCCAGTTGTTAAGAACTAAGTCTACTATAGGTTTGAAATCGTCGTATAACATATTTATTGATGTTTTTTTTTTTTAAGAACAGAAATAAAATATCACATCAATATTTAAATGCCATCGTTATTCAAAACTATGTACTTCAAAACATAACCTATAAAGCATAAAGGTCCACTCCAGTCCACTCCACAAATTAAAAATCTATGTCGATTGTCAAATTGTCAACAGTGTGACCATCTTTAAAATACAGATCCTGCCACACTTTGGTTAAAATCCGGCCAAAATCTGTAATGAAAAATGCCTAAATACTGCCAACTTTATTTAACATTTTATTAAACTAATAAAAGTCAAAATACACATATAAATGCTGTATTTTTTAAATTAAAATTAAACATATCTTTCGTTGGTTCGAATGCAATGCAATCGCCATGCTTGTTTAACGTACAAGATATACGCTACATGTTAGTTTATAAATCTGTTTCGTGTTTTTGTCTTAATTAAATTTATTTTAGAGAATATTCTTTCGCATGCTGAATCCACTCATATTTTGTTGATGTTTACTAGCCAATTTGCAGTTACACAGTCTGGATCATCTTTAGCTTTGGATATCACATGATGGAAATAAAAGATCTTGCTTCCACTTCGCTCTAAACGCCCTGTCTTATTTTCGCTTCATCACCACCACCTATGGTGATAATGAAATCTAATTCTATACCAAACTAAAGTACGTCTCTTTTATGACTGATTGAAATATTAACCAACTTGTGTTAAGATTATCAACTTTATACACAATTTTTTTTAAAGTTGTTTATTGAATGTGATACAAGCATAATACGACAAACCGAGAAATTCAGGGAAATCCCAAACATGCTGGCGAAGTATCTAGGGGTTACCATTTTCATCATTTTAAGTTGCCACGATGAAATATATTTTTAATACCCCAATACTGCCAAATACTGCCAGGTTTTATAAAACGTCAACCGATCATGCCACAGGCTAAAATAAGAGGCCAATCCTGCCAAAATGGCAGGAACCTGCCACATATGGTCACACTGATTGTCAACTACTTTTTACTAAGATGTTTTTACTTGGATGCTTGTCTTTTAAACCATATCTTCGCTTATCTCAGTATCAAGTTAGTGATCACACACTAGTCACATTGCGTAATTTTTAATTGGTGATAGTATCTCAAACGATACGTAACTATCTCTATTTTTTTTTATAGGAGAGGGGGCAAACGAGCATACGGCTCACCTGATGGTAAGTGACTACCGCCACCCATGAACAACCGCAACACCAGGGGAATTGCAGATGCGTTGCCGGCCTTTTAAAAAGGAGTAGGCTCTTTTCTTGAAGGTCCCTAAGTCGTATCGGTCCGGAAAAATCGCTGGTGGTAAACTATTCCACAGGGAAGTTGTGCGAGGAAGAAAACATCTTCTAAATCGCACAGTGGTGGACCGCCAATCATCCAGATGGTGTGGATGGTATCGAGAGTTCTGCCGCGATGTGCGTTCGTGAAATTTGGCGGCTGGGATTAATCCGAACAATTCCTCAGAGCACTCCCCATGGTAAATGCGAAAGAAAATGCTAAGAGATGCAACATCTCTTCGCAGTGCCAATGAGTCGAGCCGATCGGAAAGGACTCGGTCGTCGACGATTCGAGCCGCTCTGCGCTGGATGCGGTCAAGTGGAAGAAGCTGGCACTGGGGAGCCCCAGCCCAGAGATGGGAACAGTATTCCATGTGAGGCCGAACCTGCGCCTTGTAATGTTGCAGGCGTTGAGCCGGCATGAAATACTGTCCCGCTCTGCTGAGCACGCCAAGCTTTTTAGAGGCCAATTTGGCCTTCTCTTCCAAGTGACCACGAAACTGCACGCTACTCGATATGTCGACGCCGAGGATTCCGATACTGGCTGAGGCAACAAGGGGAGTACCTTGAAACTGAGGAGATACGACAAAGGGGTTCTTTTTAGCGGTAAACGCGCAAACTTGTGTCTTCTGAGGATTAAACTGGACTAGATTTAGTTGCCCTCAATCCGAGCCTTTGTCCAGCAAAGACTCGACTTCAGACACAAGTTTGTTCCGGTACTCAGTGACGTTTTCCCGAGAAATATTGGCACGGCCGGTGTATAGAGCATCACCAGTGCTGTCATCCGCATAGCAATGAATGCTACCGGCTTGCAACATATCATTGATATGCAAAAGAAACAGCGTTGGTGATAGCACGCAGCCTTGTGGAACACCAGCGTTAATAGGCTTGTAGTCGGAGCATGCACCGTCTACAACGACCTTGATGCTCCGATCTGCAAGAAAGCTGGTGATCCAATTGCATAATTTCTCGGGAAGCCCATAGGAAGGGAGCTTCGAAAGAAGCGCTTTGTGCCAAACCCGATCGAAGGCCTTCGCAATGTCCAAACTAACGGCCAATGCCTCCCCCTTGGACTCTACTGCCAACGCCCATCTATGAGTAAAGTAGACCAGAAGATCACCAGCTGATCGACCCCGACGAAAACCGTACTGGCGGTCACTAATCAGCTGGTGATCCTCAAGGTACCGCATGAGGTGGCAGTTTACAACGGATTCCATTATTTTGGAGAACAAGGGGGTGATGGCGATAGGCCTGTAGTTGGACGGGTCTGAGCGTCGCCTTTTTTAGGGATCGGGTGGACAAAAGCTGTCTTCCATGATTTCGGGACTACGCCTAGGGAGTAGGAGTACCGGAAAAGACGCGTTAGAACCGGTGCCAACTCCGGGGCACACGTCCTCAGCACAATTGGGGGGATTCCGTCAGGCCCACTCCACTTGTGGATGTCAAGGGAGAGGAGTGCTCTGCGAACCGAGCGCTGTGAAAACCGCACATCCGGCATGGAGCACTCACACCGCGGTATGGTCGGCGGTGTGTTCCCCCCGTCAACAACAGTCGAGTTGGACGCAAAAAGGGAGCCTAAAAGGTCGGCCTTCTCTTTTGCGTCGTGGGCCAGTGAGTCGTCCTCCCTGTGCAGAGATGGTAGTGATGGCTTACAGAAATTCCCTTGGACAGCCTTGGCGAGAGACCAGAATGCATGGGTTCCCGAAGGAAGGCGAACTAGTTTCTCGCCAATTCTGCCTATGTGCTCTGACTTTGCCTTGGCAATAACTCTTTTGAAGGACCTGGAGGCGAAGTTATAATTCTTTCTAAGTGTGCTGGTGTTTACATCCCGAGTCAACGAAGCCGCAGCCCAGGCTTGATAACACTCTTGCTTAGAGCGTAAAGTAGTCTTACAGGAGCGACCAAACCAAGGCTGAGATCTGCCTCCGATGGATACCACAGATAATGGAATAAATAGTTCCATTCCCTGTAGAACCACATCAGTGACAGAGTCAGCAACAGCGCTGAGAGCAAACCCGGCCCCATGGGTGGGAAGCAAAGAAAGACCGCATTCCGTCCCAATTCGCCGACCTGTAATGCCAAACACGGCGGCAACCTGCAGAACGCAACCGCGAGGGGAGCGTGAGTGGCACCACACTCCGGATCAGACAATGGTCCGAAGAGCCAAGAGGGGCATCAACGGAAACCTGATATCCGTCCGGATGAGAGGTCAGCAGAAGGTCCAACAGGGAAGGTGTATGATCCTCCAGACCTATAGAGATACACGTAGACGCGCGGATGGTCGTCGCTGTCTACGCGTAGCCAAAGGATGGACAGGTCCGAACCTTCAAGACTGCCGAGGCGTCGAGAACAGATGTCCTCTCTGACATACACGCAAACTCCAGCCCGAGGCACAAAGGAGTGCTCCAATTTGTACCCCGGGTAGGAGAGATACGAAGTATCAGCCGGAGAGGACACCTGCGTCTCGGTCAGAAAGAGCAAGGCCGGCTTCGCCGTCTCAAGATGGTAGTGGACGGCGTTTAGGTTCGAGTGAAGTCCCCTGATGTTGCACAAATTCACGGATAGCGTGGCAGGGGTCGCCTTGGTCTTGTTGCTCAGTTTGCCCCGAGCAGAGGGCTCTATAACGTGGTAGAGCCACGCTGAAGCTATATTATTGTTGTAGCATGAATGGGTTGGCTAAACTGAGGTAGGAGCACGTTCTCACACAATACGAGCGTAAAATAGCAGCTTAATACTGCTGTATTTCGTATAGTGAGTGTAGAGAACCGGAGACCCTTTTTACTGGAAATGAGGCATTCCATTTTAGTCCTCAGGGGTGACAACGCATCTCCATTTTAATTCTAAATGTAGATGTCTATGGGCCACAGCATCCACTTACCACCAGGTGGACTGTGTGCTCATTTGTCACTCATGTTATGTATAAAAATCTCTAGATTCACATCATCATCGGAGCACTTGTTTAACCGTTTCCACTATAATAGTTCACATACCCAGACATTTAATACACAAAATCGCACTACTTTTAGCCGGTTAAGTTCCTGACAAAGGTTGTGTATCGCCAGCAACGCAAAGTCGGGAATTTTCATTTGCAAGAATCCAAAATTAGGGGCTTTTTAGGTGCTAATTAGGTGCCAAGTTTAAAAATTAGGTGCTCTAAAATTTTCACTGCAACGAACCATTGAAATTTGCGTTGCTGGCAAAACGTATGGCTGGCAACGCAATGAAGTTATTATATATACGAAAAATATTAATAGTAAGGAATTAAGTGCTAATTAGGTACTGCAAATATACGCAGTAACAAGGCGCCCCTAATAAATATAAAGTCGTTATTCAGAACATAGCAGATGCAAAATTCAGATTTCCTGAAAATCAAAATAGAATCAAAATTGCTTTCAGAAAAAGTCCAAATTAGGGGCTTTTTAGGTGCTAATTAAGTACCAAGTTTAAAAATTAGTTGCTCCAAAATTTTCACTGCAACGAACCATTGAAATTTGCGTTGCTGGCAAAACGTATCGCTGGCAACGCAATGAAGTTATTAGATATACGATAAATATTAATAGCAAGGAATTAAGTGCTAATGAGGTGCTGCAAGTATAGGCAATGACAGGGCGCCCCAGATAAAAATAAAATCGTTATTCAGAAAATTATTCAGCAAAGCAAATGCAAAAATCAGGTCTTTGTCTTTGTGC